AGTATGTGTTTATATGCACTTATAGCCTGCCTAGGACGTATTGCCAGTTTATCACGTAGCCATGATTCACGCAAATTCTAATCGTGGAGCGTTCTCGCAATAAAAAGGTTTTGCCATAAAAATTAACTGGAATTAATCAATTATAGGGGGCGCGCAAACGAGAGGGCGGCCAGCATGTAACTGAAATAAACAACAAACTTAATTAAAAGCCAAAATGGGGCGCAAAGTAAACAAACCGCCCACACGAAAACCACGACACTCACTGAGGAACTGCAGAATGCACAAATTGAAAAACATACAATACGAAAAGCGAAAATCAAAGGCAATATCAAAGCGAGAGCAAAACAAAGAAAAGCACAGCTTAAAAGCGAACTGCACTTCAGCGTACAATGGCCATAAATATGAAATTGTATGGTAAATTAATGCTATTATAGCGTCTAAGATCCAACACACAACACACAAGAAGTAGAAGAAAACGCTTAGAAAAGAGCAGCCACAACGGCCAAATAAAGAGCCATATTTGAAGACCTTGTACGTGGGCTGCCTACACAACCAGTTCGCGGATTCAGTTTATTTCAATTTTGTGTGCTGCGCCGCTCTGACTCTGAGCTGGCCCAAACCGACTTGGCCTGGTCCGGCCAACTCCGGCTCCGGCTCCAACTATAGCTTCGGTGCACAGGCAAAAATACAAATACGCCTTGTATGGATTCTTTAAGATCTTATTCAGATGCGTACAACAATGTGGTAATAAGATTGATAGTAGGCAATGTACTTGTACCTTTACCCATTTCCTTTTCACCGGGCGAGAGTGAGTGACCACTACGATTTGCGCTCAGTGTACTACCGATTGGCTCAAGCAGCGTTTCAGTTTCTTAGTTTATATGTATATATATGTGGCGGCACTTGATTTGCATAACAAATGCAGCACAACAGCAGCTAAAGCAAAAGCACAAGCAAAGGCAAAGGCAAAATCCGCAGTAGAAGCCGAGTCACTCGGCCGTGCCAAAAACAAAAGCCAGCAAAATTGCTGCAAAAAATGTGGACTGGCTCAAAACTCAAAAATTCATCAAATGCGCACCCAAGAGTCAAAAGCTCGTCGCGCCCAATTACCAGAAATTTCACTCCATTAAGACACACACCTCGCGCGTCCATAAAAGTGAATGTCTATCATTAAGACAGTTTTTCCAACGCTTTTTCTACTTTTTGGGGTTTTTCCTTGCCTTGTTTTTGCATCCGCTCGCACCAGCACTTTTCCATTTCCGCTTTTATGCCAAATTAATTGAGCCTAATTATGGCAATTGAATGCCGAGGATTAGATCATCATAGGAGAGAAAAAGATCACCTGCCGTGCCAGCGAGCGTGAATTAATTGGGGATCTACGCCAAAAGTGGGAATTAATAACCAAGTTCGTTAAAAAATGCTAATTTAGCTCGTTTTTAATGGCGCCACAACGCGACGCCCTTCACATATTTCCACCTGAGTTTCTAAGGTGACAAAAAAATAGCCACCTAACCTACGCAGCAGACGTGTCAGTTCAAGACAAATTGGCAAAATGTCGGGTTATGGCAATAAAGGGAATACCCGAAGATGAAATCAGCCCAAAACTTTGTTTCTACGTGTCCAACAGAACAGAGCCCTTCCATTATACATAAACCTTTACCTTTTGGAGGGGCAAAAAGGGTGTGGGCTAGATAAGTTGGGGCCACATTAGTCAGCGGACGTCGATTGCGTAGCCCGGTGGTTGTTGTTCGCCCGATTTGTTTGCATTTTCACATTTATTTATCAACAAATTACGCTGTAAACAAGCGCAAGCAGCACATATGTATGTACATTCCTCGAAAGTCCGGCCAAAAGGTTAATTATGCAGCCAGGGACTGGGAACTCACAGTGTGCACTATAAGTATTCACATTGTAAGGAGAAGTAAGTTAGTCAGCTCGTCAGTGCGGTTCGTCAATCATTTTCTGGATGGCTTACAAGAAAATCGTGTTCGGTTTTTCAGATTGTTTTCCTATTTTTGGTGGTGATCTGTGGTCTGTGAGCGTTTTCACTGCATTTTTTACAACCAAACAAATTTTTTGACAAGCAACTGACAGAAATTGACAAGCGGCCGAGCAATGGGCCCAAATGCTGTACTGCCAGACCGAAAAGAACGCCACAAACGATATGATGTGAGAGATGGTTCCAGCTGTGAAAAGGTCAACATTTCAGACATCCAGACATGCTGGGTCTGTCGTGCAGAGTTATTGCCTTTCCTTCTCAGCTGGGCTGAGTTGTTGCCTCACTTTCCAGCGATGGCCGAAAGAAATGAAAAGTGTGGCCTGAGAACCCGAGAGGGGCCTTTCTGCTGCCCGGACCAACGACTTTGACCAGCTAATATTGACAAATTAAAAGCAGGTTAATGTGTCTTTAATGTTTGTGGAGTTTCTCCGGTGGGGTTGGGCGTCTTAGATCCCAAACACCCATTGATGCAACATATGTGCGCGCCGGCATGTAAAAATGTACACAAAGATCGGCGCGTATCTTTAAGAACCGACATAAAATCCAGATACAGATACACACACGTGGTTGTGTGAGTGTGTGTGTGTGTGTGGAAACTGGCAGCCAAAGGCAAGGCAATTCAAAAGTCATTGAGGCGCAAAAGTCAAGCATAAATATTTCAAATAATGTTTGCTGGCCCCGCTGGCATTGGGTCTTGGCTCTTTGGTCTTGGATCTTTGTAAACCCAACTAAAACTGCCCGGCTTCTCTACCCCTCTCTTTTTCCCACCATCAGTGTGTGTGTGTGTGTGGCATAATTTGGTGAGAGTTCGAGTTCAACAGCTGAACAAAAAACAGCGCCGAGCACATTAACTTTGAAATAAGAACAACACTATAGAACTCAAAACCGTACACAGAAAAAATCGGGGTATTTTCAAAATGCCACAACAAATTTTAATAAAGTGCAGAACTGATTTAATTCAATTTATAGAAAGGTACAGAAGATTTTTTTTCTATGTTGATCTTATAAAAACAAAAAGATTCTACTAAAAATAAATACAAACTATTCCTCAAAATAATATACTTTCTAGTTTCCTAATTAATATTGCTGAGTATATATCAAAACGAAATAAGAGATAGAGAAGATCAAGGACTAGATTCTCAAATCCAAGTCAAGTCCAAAAGCAATCGTATTGTGTTTCCGTGTACGGATCGGAAAACTGAGAGCTGAGAATGGAGCACAGAGAAGTGGGGAATCGGAGAACCAGAGGGAGCTCCCAGCACGATGAGATGAAAAATTCTAGAGGCGGGCGTTTGTGTAATAGACGATGTCTACGCTGATGACCTCAGTTAAAAATAAATAATGCCTTACATTGTTTGGAATTAGTGGCTGTTTCGGGGCTCCAGTCCGCAGCTGAGATCTGCATCAAGATTCTGGCCGTAAGTTCAGGGTGGCGCTCAGCGATCGGTGATCATGAAGATGCTCTGCTGAGGTTGGCGACAATAAGACAAAACATGGGGCGCCCAAACAAATCATTTTGTCAACTCAGCTTGTACCCGGCAGCTGGAGCAGCGACATGCATACATATTTGTGTAAATTCTTGTACGACATTTATCACACACGAAATTGATGAACCTGCCCCGCCTGATAAATGTTTGTGAGCAGCCGAGCAAGGGGAAAGCGATTTTACTAAATCGGGGAAAATCTGGGCAGAGATTTGCGCCTGAGCTGCTGGATTGGGTGTAACATGGTTTTACTTAATTAAATATCATGGGAGATTTTTAAGAGAAGATGTTATAGGATGGGAGACCTCTTGTGTGTTTTTTGTTTGACTTTCTTATCGAACCTTTACAAATATTCTTAACAAAAGGGATCTACATAGGGTAAAGCGAAATATTATACAAACAATATTTAACTCCACGTTCTATAAATGTATATCTGTTAAATACCTTGGGTGTTTTGTACATTTGTTATAGCAACGAACATGATAATTTAAGCCCTAACTGCATGCGACCTTTAACCATTTAGTTACTAATGTTTGTGGGTCTTTCCCAACCAGAAGATGAAGAACGCCAGCCAGTCGAAATATTGTTTCAGTTTTATTTACCTGAAATTTGCTATTTTATCAAGCACCCAGCACAAGTGTTTCGTTGTGAACTTATTTACATACTTATCGGTACGTATCATGTATGTGGAGTATAAACAACAAAGGCAGAAACAACGAAAACGAGTTTCTATATATAAGGTGGCTATGCTGTAAAATAATAAAGGGCGGGCCGTATCAAGAGTTGCTGTTATGGCAGACAAAACGGGTCGCCAGTTTCAGTTTCAGTTTCTCGGGGGTTAAAACGATCGACGTACTCGGATGACGCATTCTAGAACCGGAAATGCTCTGCCTGCCTTTTGGCTTAGTTCTCAATAGGTATGCAAATCGGATTCGGATTGTTCGTGCACTTTTTGGTGATTGTTCACGTGAATTAAAGGCAAACTGTAGAGGGGAACGCAGCACTCGACAAGAGTGTAAACAAACTGCACAGCGATTATGATTTATGAATCGAAATAAAGCGCTGACAATTCAAACAGCAGCGGAAATGGTAAGGAAAGCCGATCAGAACTAAACAAACCAATAAAAACGATCGCAGATAACTCGATATACCTCCTCGAACGCGTCGCACAGATAATGCCAGCGACTAACTAACTGTAAACACATATTATTTAGGTTATCACTATCATTTTCAGCGCGCAGCTGACAAGATAAAGTTGTACCACAAAGTCAAAGACTAGAAAACCGAGAAACTCAGGTAAATTTTGGGGAGTGAAAGTAAGTGGCAGCCCGGCGACAATCACAAGATGTATCTAAAACTCTGACGTTGCGTTCTAGGAAGCCCGAAGCCACCCATATCCATAAACAAGTGATGTCTGGATTTCTCGAGATCTGCAGATCTTTATGGACCTGCAGATAAGCTGGATTGTTTACCCTCCCCCGAAGATAAGCGACTTGGGGTCCCGAAGCTCTATTTACCTTCTTAGATGCGTTTGCAGCTGCTGCTCGTGAAGAGAGTATCTGTAGCTTTGGGGTTTCTTTATTTTTTGATTTCACAACACCATCTGAGATTCCATAGACACCAAATGGAATTTCGCTTTCGTATTTTGCTGCACAGAACTTTTCTTTTCGTATAGATCAGATGTGTAATTTCTCTTTTATTTTCGTTGTTTCGTTTATTTTCTATTCTTTGAATCACTTGTATTTATTTCTCGTTTTCAACAACAACATTTCGTCATGTTTTTTCTATGGGGCGTATAAAAAATGTAGTGAACGTAATCGAAAACAAAAGCACGCGTTCTCTTTCTCGAAAGAGGGAAAGAGACGGGCGGTGGGGCAGAGAAGGGGACGGGGATAGAGATAGAGCTAGAAAGGGGGAAGCAGAAACACACGCACACTACAAATAAACAAAAACGGAACCGAACCGCAAAGAAAACCGATTTTTATGCACTATTTAACTTTATATATTTTTCTACACATAGTTTTATTTTTACTTTTCTGCCTTTCGAAGGAGGGGGAAGGGGAGTGTTTATTTTTTATTATGGGAAGCGTTAGAGCCGTGCGAAATTCAAGCCCAACAAAAGATGCGTTTGTTTTGTTTCGCACTGCAATTTCCGCGCTTCATTTTCGTATTTTCTATTTGCTTTTCAAAAAACAAAAGATTTCTTTATTGTTAAATGGAGAGTGCTCTTTTAAATCGCGGTCGTGTTAGTGTGCCTCTGTTTATCGCGTTGTTGTTGACTCCGAAAAATTCGTTCACACCCGCGCTCATTCATAAAACATATCCAAAACACACGATGTCACGTACTCACAGTTTCCAACTTATGTTTCTGAAATGATTTTTAGCACTTATTCAATTTGTATCAATATCTTTTTGCCCGCACTTGTTTTCGCATTCTAAATTCAATGTTCACCTTTTTCGTAAAAACCTGAGAACTGCCAATAAACAACGGTTTGTTGGACTCAGTGTTTTTTAAAAATGTGAATTACAGAGGAGCGCTTTAAATTTGCCCGACTTTTCCCGGTCGAGGTGGAAACCCAACTGTTGTATCCAACAAACGCGCGGTATTAGCGGTTAACAGAGAGAGAAGAGAGCAACATGTTGCGCTCAAACTGCGCCAACAGCTCAATCCGAGCCGATCGAAGCGATCTCAAACGAGCTCAAACGTGTTGCAGTTCGAGAGGAAATCCCCTAGAACTGTTCATTGAAAGTAAAATCAGTTGGAAAAACTCCAAGCATATGAGTGTATTTGTAACTTTACACACCCATTCGACTGTGTTTGTAAATTTACACTAACAAGCGGTGATAAAACCCCATGTTAGAGTCTTTTCTATGGCTTATTCAGTGTGTTTGGGTTTCTGATTTTATGGCCTGAGACCCGGGTCTCATCTTTGTGCAGCCTCTTTCAGCGTTTATCGACTGGCATCTCCCTTAGTTCTTATCAGTGGGGCATTGTCTTATCTGCAGATTTATGGCCCAACGCGCATTTAATAGCCCGATTCCTGGAAGTCGACTTAACACTTTCGTTGTCTCAATTTGATTAGCGCCTGCATTGGCTTAACACGTTTCCACCCATAAACTTTGTGAACCAAAACGAAAGCGAGACAAACCTAATATGAAGGTAATGAAAAACTCACAAGTGAGCTGTGGACTTTTTAATCAGTTAACTTTTGAAAACTACAACATTATTCGTCCTGGTCAGGAAAGCATTATGACTTTTCAATTTATCTTTTTATGGCATATTACTTTTAAGATATTTAAAAAGTTTAACTCCCCTCTTAAGTGCAATAAAATACCGAGTGAAGGGTCAGCAAAGTTCAACGATTGTAAATTAACAATTAGGTAGCTAAGTCTTTAATTTAAATTTCATGTAGCCTGTAATTTAGTAAGAAATTCATAATGAACCCTTGGAATACCATTAATAACTCGTAGTAGTATAACATAAAAGAAGCAACAAAAAGTTAACTAGTTGCAGCTAATTTCTGTGTTTTGAGCTGACAACTATAAACACCTAAGAAGATTTTACAGACCAAGAATAAACGATCCAAAATTATATATCATTCTTATGGGGGAGAACGAACTCTTGTCCCGAGCAAACTGTTGAATGAACCAAGACAGCTAACAACAATTCGTCAGGATTAGCCGTGTCAACTCTTTCCTGTTTTTGTGCCATCTCCTTATTTTCCCATTCTATTGGCTTTCCCCTTGCGTTTTCCCTTCCCGCTCCCTCCGCATTTCATAACGTTTTGAGGTGTGTTCGCCGGTCGGCCTCATCCTTATCGAAGGTGCGCATCAACGTCGCAGAGAGATATACCCATTTACCCATAACCATTGCCGACCCGATCTACGTGCTCGGGTTCTCTTGCCGGCTTTGAAATCGAAACTGCCCATTGTGTTGAAATCTAAGCGAGCGTGTGAGGAGCTCCCCAATCTCCGGGTTCCAGTCCCTTTCCGATCTCCAGATCCCAATTCAGAAACTCCATTCCGTGTGATGTGCTGAATGCTTGATCGATAGCGTCTGGTCTCCTTGATTTCCAACGAAAGGTAGATGCATCCAAAGCGAAAATATTGAGAAACAAAAAGATGCCAGGCAGATATTTTGGGAAATATTTTGAATAGTTTTCAATGCCAATGGCATCGGGAGAAATTTGTCTTGGACAGTGCACTGCGAAAAATTGGTACGTAAATGGCTTAATGAATCAAGCCAGGATTTAAGCTAATTAGAATCATATATTTTAAATATCAATTTATTGCCTTTTCCTCCAACATTTTTAATAGCATTCATGAAAAGTTTTCAATTGAATTTAAAGTAATTTTCCTGTTATATTTTCTCGCTGTACGGGTACTTTTCACTGTGGCATAAATAATGCCGTATGAAATGCGATAAACAGAGTTATATATTTGCACACAGCGGGAAGCTGGCCAATAAAGTTGTATGGGATTTTCCATAATGCAATGCGCCGCACCGAGCTAAAACCAAACCAAAACCGAAGCGAGTGAAAAGTGCCATAAAAAAGGCAATGCTCGCTTCGCTCTTGCACTCACTCGGCGACATCATTCTGTTAATGGTCGCACTGTCTCCAAACGGTGCCATATGCAGATTTTGTGGCATAGGTAGAAGATAGGGGGGAGTCCCCTCGATTTTGCCGCACCCCCCTAAATGCATTTGCGCCATTTGTTGGCCTTGCCGTTTGGCTGATAAGTCAAGTTTTTATGGACGAGCGCGCATTTAACTTGATTATAAACGACGGCAGGCGGCCGGGCCACATAAAATCGCCTTTCATTATGGCCAAGGCATGTGAAATTAATAAGCCGACCAGCCGGGCGGGCCAACAGTTTGGCCAAAATCTCAACACTACCCGTCACCGCCCAGTTCGTTGCCTAAGTCTTTTGTTGTTTTTTTGTTTTTCGTTTTTTGTTTTCGCTAAGCCGAAACTACCCGCTGCGCGTGTTTGTATGCAAACAAACTCCAAAAGCCGCCTTAAATGTTCATTAATTCAAATTGATTCTAATCGCGACGCCTTCATTAATCTAAGCGCCACCCCACGCAATGCATTTATATTGGCCGCAAATTATTTATTGATGAGCCTTGCGCGAAATTTGCTGCCGGATTCGTTGCAGCCACAATTGCATGATTAATGGGCGGATACCTGGAGTGTCCATGGAGTCCAGCGAGTCGCAGAATAGGACCCTTGTTCTATGACAAACGATCGTATTTATGGCTCTATTCACCATCCACAGGTAGTCACGTCTCTGCGCGTGTTTGCCTTTTACCTTTGGAATCCTTGGCTAGTTCACTTCCGCCTGCCAGCCACTTGTTACATGGCGGGCAAACAAGAAAACACATTTTAAGTGCTGTTTGTTTTGACCGGGAAGCGGGGAGAGCGGGGTCTAGGGCATGAGATAAGTCTTTTGGGTCCTTCAATTACAAATGCCAGACGGCAGGCCAGCCAGCCTATAAACTGACACATCGCGCTGAGTCGACTTAACGAGTGACTCAGGCAGGCGCTGTGCAAATATGGATCGTGTCTCCCCCAAAACACAGTGCTATGCAGCAGTGAAAAAGAAATATTGTACATGAGTTTCGATAAAATCAATCGTATAAAAATTGGGTCAAGTTAGACAGGCACCTATAGCTCACCTTGAAAATCCACTTCTGACCTCTTCTGATCACTTTTGAGCCATAAAATATAAGCTATTAATAACACAAAGATTGTTCTTTAATTTCGATTCACATTTCTCTCAGTGTCTTGTACCAAAACAAAGCAAAGCAAAAGCTGTGTCAACTTTGGACCAAATTCGGGATGGGGTCTCCTTTGGCCAAAGGAGACAAAGGAAGGGAAGTGAATCGAACTGAACCGCTCAAGGTTGCCACCAACTTCGGGTCAAGCGGGCCAAGAGCCGCGTGAAAATCTTGTTAAGCATTTAATGCCAATGAGCAAATATAAATCAACATGACAAATGACCAAAAATTCTTGGCGACAACATCGCAGCCGCTGAAGAAACACCAAAGCAACAGCAAAGCAACTACAAGGGCGACAAGGGTGCCGGTGCTGGTGTTGGTGTTTCACTGTACTTGTTGCACTGCACGGTGGCTGGCTTTGTTATTGTAATCGTTATGCCGGTACAAGCCATTGTTGCGCCAACGAAATCTGCATAAATGGGTCAGCGATCAGCATTCAGTTGCTGCCGGCGGTGGTTTTACCTTTGCCTTTGTGTACTTGTTACGCCCGCCCGAGCAAACTCATTGAATCCCATTGAAAGTGCTGCTTTTTCTCATACTTCACAGATATTAACTTGGGAAATATACTCCAACTTGGAAAGCATACTGCACTCTGTTTGCATTGAAGAGACCATTTATTATTAAATTGGTTGCTTGCTTTCCTTGTTTTGCTTTTAGCTGTATAGACTTACTCCAAACTTGCATCCAAACAAGACTAACAATACCATTTGTTATTTTAGGTTTATGTGTGATCAGTACATTATAACTACTACAATTTATATTGTAAGGAAATCAAACCTAAGTAAAGGGGCATAGTAACTTTAATAGTGATTATCCTTTGGACTCCAGAGCATTAGTTTGTATCCTTCTTTTATTTTTTTCCTATTTGCTGCTTACTTTGCATTTAAAAGGGGAAGCCAGACGCCCATCCCATTGTTTTCCCTGCGATTCACATTATTTGTGTCTTGCTAAGCTGCATTGCCAGATGTCTTTAAATGGCTATCAACACCATGTGCCGCATTCCAGGAAGCTCATATTTCTAGAATTTTTACAATGTGCGAATCTGTTGCTTGCGGGTGCTAGGTTCACAGCCGCCATGAATTTCGTGGCCAAGAGACCTTGCTGACAACATTGGACCCTGAAAATGGGCGGCCGGAAAACTCGCTGACAGCATGTGGTGAAAACAGTGACCGCGGAAAGCCGCAAAGCGAAAAAGGGAGACCAAAGATGGCGATGCCGATGTTGATGCCCCAATGTATCCACACTCGATTATATTTTCGCGGACTTTCGTGGGGCTGAGGTGCCGCCGCCGTGTCTACGGCGGATCAACTGGCTCCGTAATTATAGAGAACGCTCGCCGTGTCACAGTTGCCACATAAATCAAACCACTGGCGGAAAAGTCAGCCAGCCGGCCAAAGTTGCTGCTGTGTTCGCCGCTGCTACACCAGGAAAATATCTCAGTTACTTTACATTAAATATCTTAAAAATAGATATATGAAATTGTGCATGAGTACTGTTTTTAATGTTTCCCAAGAGAGAAACCGCGAATTAAAAGTGTTAGAAACCTAGAAAGCTATAAACGCTCAGACTTAAATCTTTGAAGCCACTACACTTAAACACATTTTATGTTCTTTGGAAAAACGACCGAGTTCTTGAAGTGTACTTGCCACGCGCGACTTGGCTTTCTGGAATCATAATTCAAGACCACTTCGACTGGCTTGGCAGCCAGTTTTTGGCTTTTGTGTTGAACTTTTCGCACGCCAAAGAGAGACGAGTGGCCGTGGCAGTGGCAGCGTCTTGTGGCATCCGTCTTTGTAATTAGGCGTTCATAATTAGCC